ACATCTTTCAAACACCTAGGGCAAGTCATTGATTTTGGCTTCTTCGGGCCTTCCTGGAGGACGTCTTGGAGGCATCCTGGGCTGTCTTGGAGGCATCTTGGGCGCCTCTTGGGCCACCTTCGGCTCTCTTGGGGATATTTCTGCCGTCTTGGATGCCATCTTGGTCGTCTTGGAAGTCATCTTGGCAGTCTTGAGGTATCTTGGAGACCATCTTGGCCGTTTTTGATACCTCTTGGGCCGTCTTGTGGCCATCTTGGGGCTGGCTTGAAGGCCTCTTGGGCCGTTCTGGAGCCATCTGTGAGGCCTCTGGAACTAGTTTGGGGACTCCTTGGGCCGTCTTTGGCGGTCGGAGCACCCAAACCGAGCAAAAACTAAAATCCTTCAACAACCTAAGGAACATTTGAGACTTTGGCTCCTTTGGGCCTTTCTGGAGCACCTCTTGAACCCCTCTGCGGCAATCTTGGAACCTCTCGGGGCCATCTTGGGCCATCTTGCTCTTGGCCGTCTTGAAGCTCATCTTGAAAGTGTTGGAAGCGGCTTGGAGGCCATCTTGGCCATCTTGGAGACCGTCTTGGGCGTCTTGGAGGCCTCTGGAGCCGTCTTGGCGCCCTCTTGGAGCCGTCTTGGGGGCCCCTTTTGGGCCGTCATAGGGCCATCTTGGAGGCTTCTTAGGCGCTCTGGGGGCAATCATTCGGGCTCCTTGGGCCGTCGTGAGCCGTCGGAAGGCTCGAAAATAACAAAAGCCAGAATCCTTCAAGAACTCTTCGGGCTCTCGTGGAGGACCTCTTGGAGGCCTCTTGGGCCGTCTTGGAGGCCTCTTGGAGACCTCTGGGGCCGTCTTGGGCCGTCTGGAGGCCATCTTGGATCATCTTGGGCGAACCTGGAGGCCATCTTGGGCCATCTTGGCCATCTTGGAAGCCATCTTGGAGCCATCTGGAGCAGGACAAACTTTTGGAACCACCCTTTCCGGGCCATTCCGGGACCCCGGCGGGCGGGGCCGAAACCCCAGGGGGACTTCTTTTGGAAAAAGAGCCAAAACCAAAAACGATAGGATTCAGCACGCCAGGCACCCCTGTGATGAATCAACAGGGGGCGGCGGATTTGGTGGCTTTTGGCTCATCTCGCCACCGTGCCTGGGTCGTGGGTCAGAGGCTTTTTGAAGGTTCGGTGGGGTCTCGTGGGAAGCTTCTCGGGAGCTTCTTGGAGGCAGTTGTGAAGCCTCTTGGGTGCCTCTTGGGAGCCTCCTGTGGCCTCTTGGAGGCCTTTTGGGAGCCCCTTGGGGCCTCTCGGAGGTCTTTTGCAGCTTCTAGGGGCCTCTTCGGGCCGAAGGTTCGAATCGTCGGTTCATGTTTCCCCTCTTGGGCCCGTCCTGGGGCCCTCGTGCGCCTCTTGGGCCGTTTCTGGGCCCTCTTGGGCCATCTTGGAGCCTTCTTGGGGGCCTTTGGGGTTATCTTGGGCTGGTGTTTGGGGCCTCTGCGGCCGTCTTGGAGTGTCGGGAGCTCGAAAATTCGAGAACCTCAGAGCATAACAATCAGCATGTTTTTCCTCTCAGGGCCCTCTTGGGGGATCCCACGGAGCGCTCTGGGGGGCCCCTGGGGGCCTCGTGGCCCGTCGTGGGGCCATCTTGGCTGGGCGCGTGGACGCTCTCTTGGGCCGCTCTTTGGCGGCCTTGGCAGCGCTGCCGCCCTTCCCCCCTGCCCCCCCATGTGCCCCCGGCCTCGCCGCCCCCGTGCCCTGTCTCCTGCGGCGCGGGAGCGGCCCATGTAGCTGCGGCAGGAGCTGCGGCTGGCGCTGCTGCTGCTGCTGCTGCTGCTGCTGCTGCTGCTGCTGCTCCTGGGGCTGCTGCGCGGGCTGCCTCGGAAACTGCTGCTGCGGGAGCTGCTCTGCGGGCGGCTGCGGCTGCAGCTGCGGCTGCGGCTGCTGCTGCTGCTGCTGCTGCTGCTGGGGCGGCGGTTGCGTGGGGGGGGGGCAGCTGCTGGGCCTGCTCCGCCTGGTGAGCCTGCTACTGCTGCTGGGCCCCACCCGCCACGGAAGCGGTAGGATTCAGTCGGGCATGTCCCCCTACAGCAGGAATGCCTCAGAAGAGTCAAAAAGCAGTTCGGGGACGCTTTTTTTTTTTTTTTTTTTTTTTTTTTTTTTTGTTTCCTCTCTCTCTCTCTCTCTTTTATTAATACATATATCTGACGGTACTTGTACATTGATCTTGGAGCCTCAGCCTCGCAGAATTGGCCGCACCTCGTTGTCCCGCAACTGTCTTGGCTCAAGTTAATTTGTGGAGGGGTCAGCGCTCTCGAGTCCCTCTCAGGCGCTGTGCATGTGGGGCGAGCTCGCGACGGTGGCTGCAGGTCTGACGCAGACCTACCTGGCGAGCTGCCCGCGGTGCCCCGAACACGGGTGCCCCGACTGCCACTGCGGACGGTGCCTTTCGATCCCTGCGTGCCCGGCGTGCCCAGGCGCGCCCGCTGTTCGGCAAGACGCTGCAGAAGTGGAGCTGCAACTCGGGCTGCCGTGGAACTGGGCTGCTCGGCGCGGGGTGCCTGGCCGGGGCGTGCGGCGCGGAGGCGATCGGGGGCCTGGTGCGGGGCCTGGGTCGCTGCTGCCGCCGTGATGGCAGCCGCAGCTCTGGCGGGGACGCCGGAGGCGGCGAGTTGCGCGTGGGTGTACGTGCTCTACAATGGGGAGGGCGAGCTGTGGCACCAGAGGCGGCGCGTCGGGAGCTCAAGGGCGTCCTCGGCGACTAACTGCATCCTCACACCCGACGGGGACTGCTACGCGGAGAGGTACGACCTGGAGGAGTCACACATCTCGGCGGTGCGGTACGCTGAGGCGCGATGGCCCCCACCTCCGGGGCTGGCGCGCGGGAGCGTGTACAGGTTTCTAGCGGCGCCGACCCAGCAGGAGTTGGACGACGCCTTCGACCAGTCAGAGGCTCTTGAGCGGGCGGAGCATCGTGCGAGGGAGGCGGCAGCAGGCCGCGACCCGGCGGTGATCCCGCCAGGAGGCTACCTGGAGCGGGTTCCTGTCCCACCTGCGGCGGCAGCAGCGGGTGCAGGGCCTCCCGAAGTCGCCGCGGCGGGGGGGGGGGCTTGGCGGCTGGGGCAGGGGGCGCGGGATTGGCGGTAGGGGGGCCTCGGCGTGTGGGTGTACCTGTCGGAGGCGGGGCTGCAGGCGGGGGCGGCGAAGGAGGAGTTCGCGGAGACCCGACCCTGGTGTGGGTGGCGGTGGAGACGTGCGAGCAGTGCCGACGGGGAGATGAGGTGCTGCTTCCAGCGGGCGCCGTGACCTTGGGCGATGTGGCGCTGACGCCGACAGGCGATGGCGGAAACCTGTGCCTGAGGCGGCTGAGGCGCCAGGACGTGATGAGCTGGGTCGGGGCTGAAGCCGCTGGAGACGCGCGGGTCCTGAACGTGGAGCTGAGCGAAGCTGGGCGGCAAAGGACCCAGTGGCGCGACGTGGTGAGCAAGTCGAGCGTTACCGACTTCGCCGACTGGCCCGTGGTCGGCCCCAGGACCACCGAGTGGTGCATGATGTTCTTGAACAGACGAGGAGGTGGGCCGATGGACCACCACAGGTACTTCACGGTGCTGCACGGCCTCGAGACGGGCGACTGGGGTGTGGACACGCACCGCATGTGCCTCAAGGCGGTGGAGGGGGGGGACGTATGACCACCTGGAGCTGTGCAACCACCTGGAGCTGTGCACCTGGAGCTCTTCCGCCAGGCCCAGCTGGTAGAGTACGTGTACGAGCAGGAGAGGGTCGCCAGGCAGATGGCTGGCGGCAAAGGCAAGATGGGAGCCGGCAAGGGCGCCGGGCTGCTGGGCGAGAGCCTGGTGTTCACAGGCCAGCACCGCGAGGCGGGCGGCGTCATGCTGGCGCCGGAGCTGATGGACTTCGTGTCGCGGGAGGTCGAGAGGGATGCCAACGTCGTGAAGCAGGTGGGGAAGGCGCGAGAGGAGCGCCGAGCCCTCACCACCAACAAGAAGAAGGATGGGGAGTGATCGGGCAGGAGCGCCTGCCCACTTGCCCCGGCCGCCGGCTACAGCCGTGCGCGGCCGGGGCGGAGGCCGTCCTCCACAGTTTTGCAGCCGCCCTCGTGAGCGTCGGGTTGCTCGCGAGCTTCTTCCTCTGCCTTTGCCCGAGGGGCAGACAGGCCTGCCAGCGCTGGTACGTTGTCCTGGAGGGGGGGGCGAGAGTTTGAGCCATGCAGTCCGCCGGCGTGGACATCGGGCGCGTCATCGAGAGGATGGAGTGTCCGGGGCGATCGCCGTCGCCACCCTCGACGAGCTGTGCGGGGCCAGCGAGGACCTCTACAGCGCTAATTTGCGCCCGAGTGCGGCGCAGCTTTCCTGCTTGGCGCGGATCGAGCAATCCCGCCGTGGGCTCGGTTCGCCTCCGGCCGACTTGCATGGGCAGGGGGCCCTGGAGGAGCTCCTGTCAAAGCAGAGCTACGGCGGCGTCGCTGGAGCTGTTGCCCCCCTCGAGGTGGAGCGGGTAGCCTTGCCCAGTCTCCAGCGCCGGCCCGCGCGCATCCAGGATGTCGGGGGCTCGGCGGGCGCGCGGGTCCTCGAGGTTCTCAAGAGTTTGGCTCGGGCGCCCGAAGATGGGGCGGCTGAGGAAGAGCGTCAGCAGTTGCGCCGAGCCTACAACGACCCGATCGTTCGCCAGATGCCGAAGGAGTATGCGAAGCTCCTGAGGAAACGAGCGGGGCATCATCGAGTACAGGCGTAGCTGCAAGAAGAGCGTTGGTACTTTCTGCGCATGGAAGAAGGGTGGGGAACAACGTCTTATCCTGGATTGCAGAGTGAGCAATTACTGGTTCAAGGACGCCCCAGGAGTGAGCCTGGCGACAGGCGATAGTTTTGGGCGGCTCGAGATCGAGGGGGCCGAGCCCGTGTGCGTGTCGGGCGTGGACATCGAGGTGGCCTTCTACTCAATAAGCCTGCCCGAGGAGCTGCGCGAGTACTTCGGGATGGAGCCCGTGTGCGCAGGAGCTGTCGGAGTTCGATGGCTTGACGGTGAACGTGCGTCCTGGAGTGAGGGTCGTGCCGGTGCTGAGCGTGCTGCCCATGGGCTTCGAGGGGGCGCTGTGCGTCTGCCAGGCGCTCCACGAGGCGGTGGCCGAGAGGGTCACTGGTGTGGATGCGGACAACAGACTGGTGGGCGGGCGGCCTGCCGCCGCGGTGACCCAGGGCTGCGCCCGCACCGAGTACGTGGACAACTTCGTGGCGCTCGGGGCGGACGGAGAGGAGGGGCGCCGGCTGGCCACATAGGTCGGCGCCCCTCTTGAGGCCGACGGGCTAGGCGTGCATCCAGTCACTTGCAGCCGAGGCGGAGATTCGCTTGGCTGGCACTTTGACGAGCTGCGGCCTGCAGTGGGTATCGCTCCACGTACGGCCTGGCGGCTTATTCTCGGCCTGCGCGAGATCCTGCGCAGAGGACGAGCAAGCGGTTCCCAATTGAGAAGCATCGTTGGTCATATTACCTTTCGTGTTCTATTGCGGCGCCCGATCCAATCGGTCTTGCACACCTTGTATGCCTTTATCGATCGTCATCCTGTCCGAGTAACACCTCTTTGGGATTTTATGAGATGAGCTGGAGTGGGTGAGTCATCTGGTGCCCCTGGCCTTTAGAGAGCTCAGTATGGCGTGGGGGCCCCAAGGTGACGGTTTGCGACGCGAGCGAGTGAGGCTACGGGGTTATGGAACGACGATGCGACATGGGGGCGATCAAATATGCGGGGCGATATTCTGATGGGTGGAGGTTTACGAAGTGCGGGGGGCAACGGGTGCGCCCGCGAGATGATGAGGGAGTCTGGGGACAAGAGCAAGGAGATCTTCGTGGGGTGCCTGCGGTGCCCCGGTCTGTCTGGGGAGGCTGCTGGAGGCGTGTGATGAGTAGACCTTGGAGCATCTCGGACGACCGGGTGATCTTGGAGGCTCGGGCTGGTGTTTGGGCGCTGCGTCACATTCTGCGGGGCAGCAAAGCCGTGGGTTGTCGGCATCTCGTGCTCAGTGATGCCATGGCCGTTGTGCTCGGGGTCACCGAGGGTCGGAGCTCGAGTCGGGCGATGGCGCGCTGCCTTAGTCAGTGGGCCGCCTTGTGCCTGGCCAGCTTCGCCGTGGTTCACGTGCGCTGGGTCTCCTCCGAGAGGAACGCGGCGGACGGGGCCTCGCGCGGTTCTGAGGAGCGTGGCGCCGCTGCCAGTCGGGATGCTCAGCCGCGGCCCAAGCGCGAGGCGGCTTGGAGGCCTGGCGGCTGTCCCGACGGCGGCGGCTTCGAGCTCGTGGACCCCGTCGCTGGCGTCTTCCTCCGAGGCGGTGGTGGCGACCCCTTTGTCCTCGGGCCGCCGCCCGGGCTCGAGCTTCCCGAGGCGCAGTGCCTTGAAGAAGAAGCAGGCGAGCCAGGCGCAGCAGCGGGCGAGGCAGCGGCGACGCCGGGCCAGCGCCAGCTCGCAGGCGAGCGCGAGTGCGGCAGCACACCATCGCGCAGGCGCCAGCCGCGGGGTTGCCGCCGCCGGGCGGCGGCAGGCGCTGCTGGGGCAGGAGCTGACGCAGCTGGAGCGCGGTGTGCCGCTCGGGTCTCGCCCGCTGACCATGCTGGAGGACGAGGCGGTGGGGCCCCTCGCGCAGAAGGGCTACCGCAGTCGGTTCAGCTGTTTCGTGCGCTGGGCCTCCAAGAAGGGGTTGAGCCTGAAGATTCCGGCGGACGCCGACAGCGCGCTGGTGGTGTGGCTGAACGAGCAGTTCTTCGAGGGCGAGCCGCTGGCGACGGGCGCCAAGATGCTGGCGGCGCTGGGCCATCTGCTCCCGGGGGCGCCCCGCGGCGCGCCCGAGCTTCGGGGGTCGCGGCGGGCGCTCCAGGGCTGGAGACGGCACAACCCTGCCAGCTCTCGCTTGCCGCTGCCCTGGCCTGTGACGGCCGCTCTGGTGAAGGAGATGCTGGCGCGGGGGCAGCGGGCGGCCGCGGGGGCGACGCTCATGGCCTTCGTGCGGCTGCTGCTGCGGCCAGCGGAGGCGCTGAGGCCGACAGGCGGGTGCTTAGTGGCGCCGGTGAGCGGAGGGGCCCCGAACCGCCGCAAGTGGTCCGTGGTGCTCCACCCGCGCGAGAGGGGTCTGACCTCGAAGGTGGGGGCGCAGGACGAGTGCATGGTGTTCGACAACCCCGAGTTCGAGCTGGTGGTGCCGATGCTGGTGAGCTTGCAGAGGACCGTGGCAGAGGGAAGGCCCCTCTTCCCGGTGCGCTCCGCCCAGTGGCAGGATGCCGTGCGGTCCGCCGCAAGGCGACTGTTTCCCAGCCTCGTCGCCCCCGCGCTATGCCAGCTGAGGCACGGCGGGGCTTCGCACGAGGCGCTGACCGAGTTCCGCAGCACCGAGGGGCTCATGCGCCAAGGCAGGTGGCACAGCCTACGATCCGTCAAGCGGTGCGAGAAGAGCGGGCGCGTGAACCAGGTGCTGAGGTCGCTGACGCCCGAGGAGCTGAACGCCGCGCTAGAGGCCGAGCGCGCGCTTGGCGCGTGCCTGTCGCGGACATGCCGCAGCTAGCGGGCAGAGAGGGCTTCGCGCTGGAGATCTTCTCCGGGAGCGGGAGGTTCAGCCACTGCTGGAGGCAGCGGCCGCCGTGGGGCCTGCCGATCTTCGAGATCGACGTCAGCCGCCGCTGCTCCCACGACCTCAGCAGCCGCTCCGCCCAGCGTCGCATCCTGGGCTGGATCCACTCGGGCTGCTGCCGTGCGGAATGGCTCGGGACGCCGCGCGCGACCTTCTCTCCGGCGCGCGACTCCGGCGCCGGGCCGCCGCGACTGAGGTCGGATGACCTGCCTCTGGGTCTCCCAGGACTTTCGGAGGCCGACCAAATGAAGGTAGACGTTGCCAATGAGCTGTGCCGATTTTCGGCAAAAGTTATAGCCTGTTGCCTGTCGCGCGGTGTGCCTGCAGTACTTGAGAATCCAGCCTCATCTCACCTGTGGCTCACGCCTTTCGTTTCATCGATGAGGGTTCGCAGCGCGGACTTCTGTGTGGGCGGGATGCCGTGGCGGTAGAGGACTCGGCTTTTGCATGTGCATATCGATATTATCCCTGCCGCGCGCGTGTGTCACAGCGCCAAAAATCAACGCAATTGCGATCGCACTGGCCAGAAGCATGTTGTGCTGCACGGAAAAGGGCCTGATGGGAAGTGGCTCACCAAGACGTCTGAGCCTTACCCGCGTTCGCTGTGCAAACGCTTAGTCAATTAGTTTCGTGCCTCCATGATTGCCAACGAAGTAAATTGTCTCAGAAGTTTTCTTGACTGAACGGCGGGCCATGGTTAGACTTTTGTATGGTCTCAGCTTGGAGTTGACAGAGTGTTCGAATGCATTCCCTTGTCTGTGTGCGCTCGTTGCTCAGCTCCAGCTGTGGGTAGCCTTCCCGCTCGCACACAGATTGCCCTTTCAGAGGGGTGGCCATGGCGCGAGGAAAGAGGGCTAGATATCTGACGGTACTTGTACATTGATCTTGGAGCCTCAGCCTCGCAAAATCGGCCGCATCTCGTTATCCCGCAACTGTCTTCGCTCAAGTTCCCTCCCATTTATTGTAAGCTAACGCTCTCCGCTGCTCTTTTTCACCCGCCCCTTGCTTCGACTCGACAGTGGGAGTTGACAGAGTGTTCGAATGCATTCTCTTGTCTGTGTGTGCTCGTTGCTCAGCCCCAGCTGTGGGTAGCCTTCCCGCTCGCACACAGATTGCCCTCTCAGAGGGGTGGCCATGGCGCGAGGAAAGAGGGCTATAGGCTATATATATGTAGATATAATAGTATTATTTATATAATAATGAAAATATAATACTATGTTTGATTATTTTTAGACTCGTTTGCATTTTTCTTCCAAGCTCCGCCTGTAAGGGGACATGCCCGACCTACTGGTAGACCCCGCCCCCTTCCCTCCTTTCTCCCGGCAGAGCCCCCCAGGCCCCCCCCCCCCCAGCAGAGCTGAAGCTCAGGCTGTGGCTTT